ATGTCCAAACCACGAGCTGTAACGAAAGCAGCAAAAATATGATTTTAAGATTATTCAATGAAATATTTTATACTTATAAAGGATCTACCACTTTTATCCTTTCTTATTGATTAGCATAACTCATTGTTCTAGCTAACCGGTCAAATCATTTAATCACGAAAGAAAAGCGAAAAAGCATCTGTAACTTAACGCTGCCGTTGTTTCTTACTAAGCTCCGCATGTTGACTATGCCTGACTATTTGCTTCCCTTCAGGCCCTCTACTCCATTGTGTTATACTCCAACAGGTAAATTACAGATCCGCTAATTATAATCTTAATGCAATCTGGAGTAGGAAAAAACGACTTAGAACCACTTCATACTACAAAATCATTAGTTTATTTCAACGAACTACCAAAGAGCTAACGCAATATTAATAACTAGATAACTTTGTTCCGAATTTTTAGACTTTTCCCGAACCCACTACGTGCACTCCAAATAGCAAGTTGTCCATAAACCAGACTTGCTTAGTGCCAGGCAAATTCTTGATACCACCTCAGTATTCGCTAATGTTTATTCTATAATAATTTTAATGAAAGTCTGTAAGAAATCTATCTGTTTGAGAATTAATTGTCCGGAAACTGCATTTGAGGCAAATAAATAAATTTTAAAACATATATAGCTAATAACTCAAGTTTCTTTCATTGTAAAACTATTTAATCTAACTGACCCATGGACCAGGGCTGAAAGTTCATCAGGTTCCCCTAGTTACCAGAAACGGATAGATAGAAAATCGGATATACAAGAGTAGATACATAATTTTGAAAGATTAAATGCTGCTTCTAAGAAATATATAGGTATCCGGATGCGGTGCTATAAGTAAGATCGACTTCTGGCCTCAAAAGAGCAAAGGTTGATTCAGTGAAGCGACTTACATGCCACATCAGTAGCTACTAGGATTGGCGCCTCCTGACGCTTGAACGCCTGTATAACAGTGTTTCTATCAGATTGATGCATATCACCATGGATGAGAAGAACTTTAAAATCCCTGGCCTTGAGTCGTTGGGCGACTTCTTCACTGTGCGTCTTACGGGTTACGAAGATAAGAACACTGCCCTCTAGAAAAAACAAAATAAATGAGTAGCCACCAACAATGTTTTCGATTTCTGAAAATTAGGATTTATAGTTAGGAAATTAGTATTTGTTGCTGTGCTGTGCTGTCATTCACAGTAACTTAGTGAAAGTTACGCTCACGGAATTAGTTAAAAAAATTCTTTGCTAAGAAAACAAACTTATTTTATGCATACTATAATTTTAAACTTTTGGCAAGCTCAATGAAATTAATGAAGAAGGCTAGTGTAGCGTATGTATGGATTTTTACTAAAGCGATGCAAATTTGAAGCATTTCACGAAAAACTAAACAATTTAATTAAATTTGTCAGGGAAAGGTATGACAGAAATTAGACGATTTATTATTTTAAAACAAAATGTTTTTATAATTCCATATAAAATTTGCTCCTGACTGATTTACTGACAAAAATATCCTACCAGGATGTCCACAAAAATCAGTTTAGAATCTCCTTAACTTAAAAATCTTCTACAAAAAATGAAGTCTCATGTGCAAATATCGTAATGCCCTAGCCTATAATTTGAAAAAGTATTGTTAACAGTCATTTAGGCCAAATAAAACCATAATGCATGTTTACCTGTAGTCAGCTGCACCAAGTGCTTGAATATCCAAGCGAATTTATCGTCCAAAGATGAAAAAATTTCCACAATTTGCGTAATGTCTTCATTTGCCTTTAAAAGTAAAAATGAATAAGATTAAAATAGAGCCTGAAGGCAGTTATTATAAAAGGACAAATTCAAAAAAGTAGAATATTGGTTCATGATGAAATTCAATCCAAAACTTTCAATGGCACCTCAATCACTATAGAAGATTGCTATTATCAGGTTAAGATTAAAGTATATTTAAACTCCAGCTAATGAAAATAAAGTCTTCGGAGCAAAAACTGCTTACCTCTCCCAATTCTCCTTGGATAATTCGAATGGGATCGGTGAGAATGTCGCGGGCTAGACGTTCAACACGCTTCTTAAACGTGGCGCTAAAGAGAAGTGCTGGAATAAATTAAATAAATAAATATGCAATATTAAAAGAGAAGTTAAGATTATTTCTCTCAACAGAGCTAAGTAACAGTGGAAAGCTTCGGATATAGAAGGAAGTACCAGAGATATCAAAAAGTATATACATTAATGAGGAAATGCTTTTCGTTAGGTTGGTAAGAGAGTAATCTTGTAAATTTTCATTTAAATAAAAATATATAAGTGACTTATACGCTAAAACCAATAGCTTATCTGATTTGGCGTGAACACAATGCAATCAAACAATAGCCAAAACACTATACCCGAAGTGGGAAGCTGAAGAAAAAATTGCTTGCTGTCTGTTGATGACTTGCTTTTAAAGATGGGCATAATTGTACTTATGTTATCCCTTAATCTAACGTGCAGATAGTATTTAAAACTCCGTATTTTGACAAGGACAAGTGAAA